GCAGAAACAATAGAGCAGGCAGAAGCAGAAGTTACACATGGCTCGACAGGCTCACCAGATGCCAAAGGACTGGCACCACAAACCAATGAACCTGGCGAGCAAGGCCAAAGCACACACCAGAAGCTAACACCGGCTGAGACTGTGCCACAAGATGCCGAGCAGGCTCACTCTTCAGAAGATGAGCAAATTGATTCCGGGTCAGAGTCAGAAGCTTCCATGCAAGAAGACACCGACACAGACCCACAAGATGCAGTCTCTGATACGAGGAGCCCACAGTCCCTTGCTGCTGCGGCTGCAGCGTCTCTGACTAAGCCAAAGGCAAAGCAGCCTCAGCCGCCCAAGGCAAAGCCAGCAGCAAAACCCAAAGCACGATCCCGGCAGCCCAAAACCAAAGCCTCTCCAAAGAAGAAGTCATTTGCTGCCCATGCAAAAGCAAAGGCCTCCACCGCCAAGACAAAAGCCTCTGTTCTTGCAGCAGCCAAGAAAGCCGCAGCCAAGAAAGCCTCAGCCAAGCCAAAGGCAAAAGCTGGAGTCAACAAAGGCAACTTGATTGTCAACATCATCAGTGATGTTGTATGATTTTGTATCATATTTGTTTGTTCAGGCAGGCGTTCGATTTCTCAGCTGGTTTTGAATGTTCATTATTTTTTTGCCTCCAAGGTTCTGGAGGGAAGCGCACTGGAAATCAGGTGATTGATGATTTTCTTTCTGCTCGGCCATCATCTGTGCGTGATCTTTTGCACGGACAGAAAAGGGCTAAGTCTTCCTAGGAACTTTGCTTTCGTAGCGAGCCTTTTCCAAGGGCTTCTTTTCTGAACAGATGAGTAGCTTTAGGATTATTAGAGTTGGGTCTGGCACAGTTGAACCAACTCAGCCGTTCTTTAGCCACTTGAACAAATCCTGAACTGAATAGTCGGCGATCTCCACTTTTGTTTGATTATGTTGCCTCCACTGTAAGTGAGGTTAGTTATGTTTGTTCAACTGTTCTCTTCTATCAACAAGATTTTGTTTATGTTTCTGGAGAGGCACTGATGCTAGCGACAGATACTGAGGGAATGTGTCTGTGACTCGCGCGACAAAGCAATACAGCAGCCACACGAGTTGAAAAGGTGTGCAAGGCTGTTTGCCACAGCTGCTTGACAAACACGGGCTGACATGAAACAAACAAAACCCTGTGAACCCACCAACATCCTGAACAAGCATCTCTTGGTAGAGCCAACCCATCCCAAAACCTTATAAGTCTTTTATGTTTTTCATTTTCCTTATAGCGCTTTGATTATGAAATTTAGCATCGCCAGGCACATCATTTTACCTCACGGCGGAGTTCGAGGAACCCATTCTGGTGAATCATCCTCTTGCCTCTCTGGCGAAGGGTCACGAGGTATTGCCCAAAAAGCGCGCCCACCACCTCCGACAGAAGGACAATGGGCGCGCTGCTTTTGCAAGCGAAGCAAATCTCTGTCACGAGGTGGACTCAGGCTTGGGAAGCTCTCAGAAAGCTTTGAAGTGCAGTCCACATCTGCCACTGAAAAGTTTGCAGTCCACATCTGCTTCGAAGGGATGCTGTTTTGAGTGTTTTGAGTGTTCGCCAAGGCTTGAGATTCAGGAGATTCACTTGCTGGGCCACTGCCAAACACTGGGGTTGACTCAGGCTGACTTTGACAGGAAGTCCTTTTCAACCGCTTCTCAGATGCAGTTTCAGTAGCATCGGTAGTCAATCGCTTGGCTGCTCTCCAGCTGCCACGCTTGGGCATTGGCTTCTTTTTATCAACACAATCTTTCTGCCCAGTTGAGCCAAAAGGCTTGAGTTCCACTTCCATCCTAATGGGTCCAATATCAAGTTTGCAGCCATCCTTTAGAGGACACCACTCTGTTCCAAGGCGCCGACCGTCATAGTGCGTGCCATCTTCATCTGCAACAAGGTCACATACTGAGTATTCGCCGTTGACACAAGTTATGCGGCAATGGGCAGCTGCAACCGGATCAGTGTCGTTCCAACACAGAGCTGCGATCTCAGGGACACAGCGACCCAAGATTGCTCCAGAGGCAGGGACTCGCAAGGTGGCCTCCTCCACCGCATTTGCATATGGAGCGTTACCACCAAGCTTCTTTAAGGCTCCCACTTGTCGCACCAGTGCACCACCAGGATCGTTTGGTGGGGCACAAAATGTTCTCAGTACATATGCTTGACCTGCTGGAGGTAGTGAAAGCAAGGCTTCCATAGCACGGCTGCCCAAATGAAGTCGATCACAGAAGTCAGCAGAAGCAGTTGCAGCTCGCTGTGCAGCCCTGGCCCTACTGAGGTGAAGAATGCAAAGAACTCCGGAGCTCGAGCTGCTCGAGCTGCTTTGCACTTGCAAGCTGGCAGGATCTGTAGGTGGCAAGGGAAGAATGCTCCAAATCTCCGAGCTCAGGTGTGGTGCTCCAGCAGCCCAAATCGCACGGCACTCTCCTGATCCACGAAGATATTCATAGAGAACTCCACGCGCTTGGTCCCAGCTAAAGAGCTGACCTGTTGGGCTGTGCAGGTAGAAGCCCTTAAGAGTCTCGGCATCAATCTTCCAGCAGTCTTTGGCGTCGGCAAAGGCACCATCAATATCCTCAACTTCTTCCTCATCTTCAACCTCTTCGATCTCACGAACCTCACCATCTGAATCTGTGAAGTTGCTCTCTTCTGAACCTTCGTCTTCGTCTTCATCCACATCCCCGCGAAACAAAGGAGTAAACTCATTTCCATGACAGCTTTGCATGCGCACCATGCTTTTTCGGCATGAAGTGCAATGTTCAAGATGCTTTTAAAGGTTGTCTTGAGGTTTCAATTACAATGCTCAGAAAGGAAATCCTGTTCCCATCAACCAATTGAAGCAGGGTTTTGGTTCTTTCTGCTGAAGTCTGAAACCCTAGGCCCTAGTGGCTTGCCAATGTTTGAACTCGTCCCAAAGTTCAGCAGTACCAACAAGCTAGTCCTGTTGTTTGAGCGCAACGGAGCTTCTGCATCTACTCTTGTCTTGTTGCATTTAACTGCATTTCCTGAAGAATGCTTCACTTCTGACCCGTCCTTGTCGTCTTTTGCTTTCACATCCTGCAGCAAAGTCGAACAAACTTCCAAAGCCTTTTGCACTGCCGAAGCGGCCAAAACCCTGTCCTTGCGCTTCAGCCAGGGCTCAATTGACTTGTACCTGCAAGAAGTGACCCCAGGTGCAAGTGCTTTAGAAACAGTCTGCAGAGTCTGCACTTCTGAACCCACCGATGTAAGGTTGTTACTGATTGTAGAAGTTCGTGAGGTCAGGTACAAGATCCTCCCAAACGCATGAAACAAATCAACACAAAAAGCACTTCGACATAAGTAAGCGTGCAATTGCTCTGTCGCATATCTCCTTCACTACATACGTGTGTGGCAGGGGCTGAATTTCGATTGGCTTGCTGCCTGAGTGCGGGAACGACTTGCCCACACGCAAGTGGGGTCTCGTGCACTGGGTCAAGAACTTGGCTCGATGTAAAGCAAGCAAGCAAGCCCGTTCTTGCCATTGATGTTCATGGCCTCGTGTGGCGCACAGACTTCCTTTGTTCTTGGAACTGCTCCAAAGGCCCGCAAAAAGTGCATTTGTTGCGTGCTATGAACTTAGGAGGTGCTTGGAGGTTTCGGTAGGATCTGGTACCAAAAGTGCACATGATGCAAGTCATATTGGGAGCCAGGTTGAAGCTCTTCCAGGTTGTGTTCAGGTTAAGGTCGGCTTTGGGCGTAGGACTTCACTAGAAACTGAGTCCCAAGCGCAGGATCCACAAATGCCCTCCCGGCAGGATCTGCGAGCACCGGTCAGAAACCGTTAGTCATTAAGATTAAGTCAGAAACTGTCAGCGCCTGCGGAATGTCAAAGTTGTGTCAACCTGCGAGAATCACAATGGAGACCGGAGACCAAAATTCACCTGTGTGCGGCAGGCCTCATCCTTGATCTTGATGAGGGCATCTAGAATCATGGGGCCACAGCTTTTGAGATCAATGTTGTACTCCTCGCTGTTTGAAGGCAAACAAGGCTAGACAACAAATCCATGTCTCTATAATCAGCTCCTGCAGGAAGGGTTTGGCTTGCTGGTCTGGGTCATAGCCTGAGCAGATGCCGTGATATTCAAGGCGAAGCGTCCTGCAAAGTCTCCAATGCTTTCCGTATGACAATAGCGACGACCCTTTCAAGGCACGGTAGATGGCAAATGTCTGCGGCTGGGCCTCGGGAAGAAAATGGCGCAAAAAGCTAGGATTGTACCGCTAGTACTTCTTTCCCAAAAAAGGACATTCCGAAGTGCCAGCAAGGCAGTTTAAGAATGGCGCTGCAGCAGCAAAGCTGCGAGAAAAAAGCCGTGGGACGAAAGGCCTCCGCACAAGAGCTTCAAAAACCAAAGCAAAACATTTCTACTATCTACATAACGAGCGTTCCAGCCAAGTGCGAATTTGCAACATTGAGTCAGCTTCGGGAGTTGTCCCCGCAATGGTCCCAAGCAGGTCGAAGACCGAAAGCACGTGCCCGCCATCGCCTGCTAATCCTGGCCGCCAAAGCCATGCCTGGACAGGTTCAGGAAAGCAGAGTGGCTTGAGAGTGGAAATTGTTGTTGCTTTTAGTGAAATTGCTTCCCAAACATACTTTTTCCTGTCACCTTCAGCTTTAGAAAATAACAATATCATCCCTGTGTGGTTTGAAGCTACCAGACCAAGGAATGTATTTGGATACTTAATGCTTCATTTCGTGTCCGTTCTCTTTCGACTTTCAGGTTTTTGTCCTTTTTCAGTTCCTTCATTATTCATGCTTCTCAATAAAGTCCTGTTCAGTTGAGGCACTGTTTGATCCAGGGCCGAGATTCAAGTTTGCTCACTGAGCCAAATTGGCCATTTGCCGAGCACTGTTCAAGCAAAAGCCAAGAAGGAAGGGCTGTCACGAAATCAACTGAGACTTGAAATACCACACAATCGTTAGCATTGGAATTGGCTTGCACTCATAGCCACGAGCCTGCACTGGCTCCTTGGTCAGTTCCAAGTTTTCTCCCGTCAGTGTTCTTCTTTGCATCTCATCAGTTTTCTCTCATCTACTGTATGTGTTCTGGGTGCCGCCAAAAAGCCGAGCTTTTTGCAGTGACCAGGTTCATGGCGTCTTTAAACATGTTGACAACGCGTCTTGAATTTTTGGCTTGACTCTTTCGTTCTGGACTTGGCATCCTCCCTTTCCATACCCAGTCTTCACCAAAAGCAAAGCAATTGTGTTGAGCCAACAAAGCTTTGAGTAGCCTGCTAAACAAGGACCAGTGTTGAAAACAAGCGCACCAAAGACAGGCAAAGCATGCAACATGTCTTCCATCAAAGAGCACAGACTTTTGCATCCTTTAGAGGCGGATTCGTCTCACTAACTTCCTGCATTCAAAAACAAAACAACAACGTAAAGAAAACACATAACACACATTAAAAAGAACGTAGGCCGTTCACTTAGAGGTACTTCCACTGTGCAAATGCTAATTAATGACCAACGGCTTATTTGGAAATGCTACTGTTTACACCTGACAAGGTGTATGGTAGATGCAGAATGATACAAAGCAGTCCTTGAAAACCATGGCCCTTTCTGGGTGCCCAAGTCGCACAGCCATCCTCCTTGCCCGTAATCCTTTGCACAGGCTCGACTCGGCGAAGGGAAGCTCCAGCAAACGTTCCCAAACCTCTCCATCATCTGGCATATTCCTTGAAGCTTTGTAATACACCTAGGATGAAAACACAAAAAAGAAACGACTTCAAACATCAAGAACAGGAATCCGCAGGATAGAATATAGACAATGAGCCGACTATGTAGTGCTCTGGCATCATGAGAGTGAATTCTAAGACATTGACAATGGGCAATTCAATTTGGACAATTATATACCTTCACAAAATTGTCCAATCTAATCCTAGATCAGGTTTTGACCAAAGCGACGAAATTCAGCCTTCTAGCCAGTCTCAAAGACTCTGGACATGTCTTAGACCTTCGCTCGCTTTGGCTTCAGGAAAATAACCTGAGAGAATTATTTTGACAATCCAGAAACTTCTCCTTCATTTGAAGGAGCACTGAAACTGGCTAGCCTGGTTCTTGGTGTGTGGGACGGAACGTCACTAACACTGCCAAGTGGCATCTTGTCCACGCACCTTTCCTTGATAGACCACTTCCTGTGCACTCTTCACCCACCCCTCAGCCTGTTTCGCTGCATAATCCCAAAAAAGGTCCTCCACTGAGAAATGCGTGCCCTGCAGTGCGCGCACCAAGCAATGCAGGAACATTTTGTCTCCAACTCGAATGACAATTCAGGCTTGGCACCTGCCTTCTGCACTACTCGGCCAGGAATCAAGTCAGCATCTAACCTTAAGGGTGCAAGCAGGCTCCCACTAACCACAATCTAACCCAGGTTTCTGTGTCAAGAAAAGCTGCAATCTCAAAGAGCACGAACGGCCTTGGAGCAGTGTAGACGGAAAGAGATGTTAACGCCTGACTGACGAGAGGAAAAGTCAAGTCCCACAGTGGCCCACAAGAAAAAAACTGCATGTGTGTTTGCGTGTGAACTCCCAAGGAACAAGGTTCAACCGGGACTTTGTGCGATGACTTGCTTGCAAACGTTCTTGCCACCCAACCTCCTTACTTTTGCATAGGCTGAAACTCAACCTTCTGGTTTAACAACCTGTAGACTTGCTGCCGTTCTTTCACATCCTCTTCGGTGGCTAGTGTACCGACTGTATACGTGCATACACTAAGGTCATCTAGTTCTAGTATGTTCCAGTGTCTCTTCTTTCTATGTGCGCGTGTGCAGCAAAGCGGTGAGCAGTTCAAAAAACACTGCCCTGTGGGAGTAATCAGGCTCTGCTGCTGCCACGTTTGAATTCACGCATTTTGACAGACTTGATTGCTTGTAGACGGAGCCAGGTGTCGGAGAGAACTCACCTGACTCTATACTCCAGTCAACCCAACACAGGCAGTTGAAGATATGGGCGAGGACGACTTGAGAGAGTCTTTGATGGTGGAGGTCAAGGTACAGAACGCCCATGCGTGCTGAGTGTCGCAAGCACAAGGTTCCTGCACATGTCAGGAGTTTCGAACAGCGGCAGCGGAACTTGGAGGTGATACACGCTTCGCAGGAACTTCGCCAACACCAAATCGTGCTCTGAGCCATCAGAGCAAGAGATTTGAGAGCAGACTCATATGTGCATTCCACTCCTTTCATGGATGGGGTGGGATCAAGCAAGTACCAGCAGGTGAGCGCTGAAGGCGTTCCAAAGGCCTAACTCGGGCTCGGAGATGAGAAGCTCCGTTTGGCATGAGCTTTGTGGCACGAGCTTGCATTGCGTGTGAGTGCAGCAGGTTGCCTGTTCCCAAAAAAAGAGGCTGCTTGTAAAAGCGCCTTGGGTTCTGAAGCATCTCCTCTGTCTCATGGGGGAGAGAGAAGCCTTGCTGTGGCCTCCTTTTGCACAGGCTAATGTGCTCCGAACATGCAACTGGCAAGGTCTGGGCGTGAGAGAGGTGTGTGCTGTACAAGGTAGATCTGAAGCGATGGCAAAGGCCAACGCACAGCAGTTGTGTGGTTGGAGGTTGCCAGTGAAGCCGGAGAGTTCTTCTGCACAGTGGTAACTTTGTGGACAAGGCTCAGCAACTCCGAGCTTGGTGCACTATGGCGGAGCCTGACAAGCAATTTGTGGAGGTGAGGGACCACCAGCGAAAGGAGCATGCAACCAGTGTGGCTTTCCGAATCTCATTCAGGACGACATCACCATACTACATATGCCGGCAGCCACACTCAATCACAATTAGAATGGAGACCTCGAGAAGCTTCCAAAATAGGGAGATGTTTACTTCGAGGAGGCTGCATTTGGCGAACTTCTATGAGCCAGCGGCATCGTCCAGGCCTGAGAGTGAGCTGGTGGGATACGACCAAAGTTTTGAATGTGGCGGCTGCAGTGGCGATTGCTGCGTTGTCGGAGGCGGCTGGTGTCTCTGGAACGCCTTCAACAACGCACGCACCATTTGGTGGAGCTGCAAGGGTGAAGGCTTTATATAGAAGTTTCTGCAGCATCAGCTGCTGCTGCTGCAGCTTGCAGCTCTCGTCTGCTGCTTCTGGGATTGTTGCAGGCTGATGACACTGTGGTTGCATTGCGCGTGCCCGAGATCATGCAATGGCGTTAAAGACGGCCATGACAGAAGCTTTAAGATGGTGCCGCGCCGACATGAGAGAGCCTTGAGCTTTGGGTTGTGTTTGTCAGAATGGCTAAGGTTCAGTTCATGAAGGTATGCACCAAAGAACCTCACTCTGGGCTTTTGAGCTTTGAGATGTGGAATAGTATTGAGCAAGAGTCTTCAACCCCATTTGAAGCATGGGATGAAACGCATGTCACCGATACTTCTGAAGAATCTTGTCATTTGGACAAGCCTGAGTGCACTGTGCTACATATAGAAATGCAGGAAGTCAAGGTCAAGGTTCATCAGGCCGCAAAATCGAGTGTTCACAGGCCTCAAAGGACGCAGGCAGCTTAAGCGGTCCCGGGGGCCTGCATGGATTGCGGAAATTGCAGTGCAGAAATGCACTTGCAGCCTGCAAAGCCTGCAAGTTCAGACTTTCATACTAATGCAAAGAAATCAAATATCTACACTGCTCAATCTTCATTGCTGCTGTCCTTCCTTTCTTCATCATCGGGTGCCACCTAGTCTTACGAAGCAACATGATTTCAATGAAGATGATCCCGGAAACAAAGATCTTGTGCAGCATAAGCTCAGTTGCCAACTGCACATTGGGATCAGCTTCTTGTGGAATTCGTGCCCTGCGATTTTCAGATTGTCAAAACTTAATGAACGAATGCCATTAAAAAACTAAACAACAATGATAATAAGTCAAGCGATGATTTAAAGTGTTCCACTCCATTCTACTGCTTGGTGTCAGGTGCCTCAAGGCAGTGATCGGTCTTCGTTGGAGCGAAGCAAAGGCCTGCTGGGTGAGAGACGGCCACACAGTGATCATTTGCGTGTCTGGACATCAATCTTGATGGCGATGTCAGTGATTATGCTGCATTTGCTATCAAGAAAAGGACACTTTGAGGAAATCCGATTAACCTCTGTTTATGCAAATTCTCCGAGGTAACAACAACAACAACAGCAAGAAGACTGCGAGGATGTTCAGCACAGCAATGTCAACACGTCGGTCACGCATTCCATGAAGACTGCACAGGTACCACCGACCACCCCGGAATCTGCGATAGTGTAGAACGTCTTCCAGTGGCCTTTCTTTGCATGCTAAACGTGATTCTTAGGAGAGCTCTTTCCCTCACACTCTACCAACAGAAGTAACGTCTATAGTAACGTACTATAATTGTTGATCTTTACATGCATTTGGAAACACATTACTTGTAGTATGTCTATCATATTGACAAACACATTTACAGACTATCTCTTACCCTCAACTTCTGTCCTTAGCTCAAAAAAGACTGCCAAAAGGTGAAGGGGTTCGTCCAGGCATTCCAGCCTGGATGGTCACAAGTACGCCTGCAACGCTGAAACGTCGCAAATAGCATACAACACATCACACAGCATGTTGGTTCTGCATGGATCAAGGGTTGACGGGCCTAGGACTTGGACAGCCAAGTATGGTCTCATCCAATTGACAAAAGGCCTGTGCATGTTACACTCAACAAAACCTATGACTATGACCTTTACATGGCCATCTTGAGAGAAATCAAAACTTAAGAAAAGCTGAGGTGGCAATTTACTTGCTAGCAGGTTCAAAAGTGGAGCGACAGCATTCGGAGGGCCTTCCAGCTACACGGGCAACATCAAACATTGCCAATGCCACGATATTTCAATTACCTCGAACAACAATAGGATGCAAATGATCAATGGTTCTTGGCTTGGTGTGTTCGTGTGTTCAGACGATGCTACATACATGAAACAGCTCGGAAAAGCAAGAGTGAGATCGTGCAATGCTCTTTTTTTGCTCTTAAGTCTAGCTAGCTGGTTCAATAAATGCTCTTGACTCTTAACTCCGCTGCATAGCATCGCAAGCTACACTCAGTTGGTGTTTAGAGCAATTGTGGCTGCAGCACATGTTCATGAGCCCGGTGAATGCAGTCCACAACCTCAGGCTTCATTGAGAAAGTCAATAAGACACCTTTTCTTGGCCATCACGTGCAAATCGAATTTATGAAAGGAGGCCTCCGACTCTTGGAAGCTGCAAGGTCACTTTGTGTCAATGCATGTTGCAAAGACATTGTTGCCTACTCTGTGCAAGCTGTTCGCCATCAAGAGGCGAGAAAATAGTTTCTCACTAGAGTTCCTCCATCATATCATCATTAAATCCTTCCTCAGAAGTGTCCCCTGCAAAGCGCCGCAATACTGCATGAAATGCAACCTTCCCCAATCTCCTATAGACGGCATCAAAGGCAAAGGGCAAAACAAAAGCACCTCCAAGGCCCAGAACTCTCCAGCCTTGGCTTGAGCAGTTCACCCAATACGGCTGGAGCCGTGGACTCTGCGCATGTCGGAGACCACTTAGTCTGCAGCCAACGTAGAGCAGAATGATTTCGAGCACAAAGACCATAATGTAGAGCAGGAATAGCATGCCACATGCCTTTTTTTCTTCAGCCGGGGGGGTTGCATTAGGTACAGGACGCTCCCAGGTAGGACATAGGATAGTTCACGCTACTTCAAGGAAGCGCTCGCACCATTCATGTGGTTCCTAGCTTTTAGGGCTCGACTTGAAATTAGCGACAGCTTGCCCACCTGTAGCCGGCTATATCCACTCCTTGGAAGTTGGCAGCTCCAAATATTTGATGTGTCAGACCAGATTGTCACGGCCAAGCGTCTGTTCCAAGAGTTCCACGGTTCGATATGGATTTGGTGCAGAAAGAATGGAACGACGCCTCGAAAAATTTGCTGTCTTTTAGTGGCTCAGTTGAGCAATTTGGCAAAAACCATTAAGGTTGGCTTCGAGGGCCAGACTGAGTTGGCCTCCTTTGTGCCGGTTCAGCATCATCGTCGCCTCGTTCAACTGTCAAAGTGCAAGACTATAAATCGATCGTTTGCTCAAACCTCCCTCGATTGAGCTCATCAGTTCCAACAGCAACAAGTTGCTACTCCCAAAGAAGAGGAAAGAGAAGCGCCTCCAGCGCTAGAAGTACCAGCGTCCTGCGATAACTTGAGGATTCCACTGCACAAAGAACAAGTTGTCAACGCGTCCTCGGCGGATTCGCCTATAAGCGCCAGCTGGGCCTGCAAAGTAAGTCAAAAATGATACCACTTCCACGACTGTTTGGATGATTCAACATAAAATGGTATCCTCCAGCTGCTGAATCTTCTGATGAAACCGGGCTGCTTGGTCATACCTGACTCAAAAACGTTTCCTGCTCAGAGCTCAGAGGCAGAGTTGGAAAAATGCCAGAGAGAGAGAGAGAGAGAGAGTAGACACTAGGGGAACCGACATGTGCAAAAAAAATGTGTGTACGTACGCATGCACGCTTGCACGGATGCATGTATGCATGTATGTATGTATTGCGTGTGTATATATATATACATATGTATATATAGATGTATGCTTTCATGTGCTCTCATGAGCGGGCGCTGCAGCACTTTTCTCATGCAGACTGGCACCGTCTTGGCTTGTCAAGGGTGAAATCTGCATAAACGGAGCTGGTCGAAACCTCTGATCAACCTCTGATCTTCACCTCAAATCTTTCCAGCCTCGCTCTTTGATCCTCATCTCCTTCGTTGCTCCTCAAATCTCACCAGACACCAGCAGCAAAAAGGAATTCCTCATCTAGCTCCCGAACCACTTCCCCCAAAACAAAAAGTGTAGACAGCCGGACTATTAGAAGGAAAAAGATTGAATAGCATGGTAGGGGCTTCACCGGTCAACGTCAATGCCAAAGTGTTGCACAGTTTGGACGGATATGATTCGGTACAGCGTCCACGGTTTGTTGTCTGGACCGGCCCTGGTCAAAGGCCCTGTGGGTCCAGCTGCAGTAGCCGTTGTGACCTCGGCAGGCGCGCACCCGACGCGAGTCAGGGAGATAGTTGTACAGCATGCAAAAATCAAGACAGGCCTCCTGTTGTTGGTCGAGTAATCCTCGAATAGGGTGTAAATTCCAACACCGACTCGAGAGAGAGTTCTCGAGGATCCATGGCAGGTGTCGCTTGTTGACCTCTGTAATGATGCGCAAACAACTTCTGAAACATGCGCTGCCCAACCACACACTGTCAACCTCCTTAGAACGTCTGCAGGGTCCCGATACGAAGTTGAAAGTTGAAACCCCAAACCCTTCACGCGAGCTGTCCGAAGAAGAAACCAAGCTGTTCCAGGCTCGCCACCAGTCTGTCTGTAAATAGATCATCAGACCTCTGAAAAACTCCAACTCCTAGCCTTACCGAATACCATAGCCTCTCTAGAAAATATGCTTTCTACGTATATACTTGTATACTGCTCCAAAGGTGATGGACCTAGGTTTCCAAATCATATACCTGGTTTCATATGCTTAAGGTCTAACTGCTCAGTATACACGTCGTGATCTGGAGTCACTTCCCAAAAACAGCCAGACTCTGAGGGCTTCATGCTAGGCCAAAAGGATTACGCGCTCGCGCCACACGCTATCATCCGTGTAGACCGCTAACGTCTCGCCTGGGAGAAATGACAACTCCGTGTCCTCTGCGTCTGGGATGCGGTACAGGCGGCTCCCTCCGCTCACTCCCAGATAACAATCCAGCCAACCAACTCACCAATCCAAACCCGACCCAACGCTAAGAGTCATTCAGGACGCCAATCAGAGTGTCAAAAACCAACCTCTATGGCGCGGAAAAGAACACTAAGAACCAAGGCTTCCAACTCCACCGACGCTCTCTTTCGCCTCTTCTTCCGTTCGAAGGTAAAATTCTGGAGCTTGAAGGAAGAGTTCTGGTGAAGAGCTTGCGCAGAATTGCAACTGCCGTTTTTGGGTCAGCAGCTTTTAGTAGTGGATAACATGTCGGTTGCCTTGGATTTCGGTAGATTCAGGTCTCGGTCATTTCCACTCCTCAAGCAGATTCGACGTTTCTCATCGCACCTCCTCAGTACGAATATTTCAACAGTGGAGCCCAGCAAATTGCTGACGCATCTTCTTCAGAGGGATGCCACCCAGGCGAGAGCGCGCCCGCTCCTAGAGAGGAAGAGGCGGAGAAGGCGGAGAGGAAGCTATATATGCCCCCACTTTTCACCTCATCCTTATCAAATACCATAGCCTCTCTGGAAAATATGATTTCTACGTACATACTTGCATACTGCTGATGGACCTAGGTTTCCAAATCATATACCTGGTTTCATCTACTTAAGGTCTAACTGCTCAGTATACACGTCGTGATCTGGAGTCACTTCCCAAAAACAGCCAGAATCTGAGGGCTTCATGCTAGGCCAAAAGGATCGCGAGAAATGACAACTCCGTGTCCTTTGCATCTGGGATGCAGTACAGGCGGCTCCCTCCGCTCACTCTTCCAACAGTGGCCAAATAACAATCCAGCCAACCAACTCACCAATCCAAACCCTACCCAACGCTAAGAGTCACCACGATGATCCAGTTGTTGGCAAGAGCAGCTGCACTCAGAGCTGAAGTTGGCTGGCGGAGGAGGGGGTTCAGGACGCCAATCCAAGTGTCGAAAACCAACCTCTATGGCACGGAAAAGAACACTAAGCATCACTTTCATCCTCAGAGACTTGAGCATGTACAACGTCATTTCATGAGGTTTCCTTTCAGCATTCGTGTGTCACACACATGGGAGTGTGTGTGTGTGTGTGTTTACATTATACATTTTTTGTATATAGTAGTTTGTATCATGTTGTATATATTTAGAGAGCTCGACGTTATGCGGGTGTGGTTTTTACGCGTTTTTGTTGCGTTTTTCTTAGATTTTGTCATGTTTTGAAAGAGTTTCCACGGTTGCGGTCTAGATATGTTCTTGTGCTCCTGTTTCCCAAACAAACCAACTTTTATTTGTTTAAAGCAACCTCTGGATCCGACTCTACCCTTCCTTGCCCATAAGCATTCTCATTGTTGCAAAGGTAGCACTTTTTGGGCTTCTCCCTCCACATTCTTTATGAAATGGGCTTCTCCCTCCACATTCTTTATGAAATGGAGAGAAGATCATTATCTTG